CACTTAGATTGGGAAGGAGACTATGTTAATGAAAACTTTTCCTCTCCTTTAAACAATATTTTATTTATTTGTTAGTTTTATATTCTGCCTTTCGCCCAGGAGCTCCAGGTCTACAAAGCGTCCCCTCTGTTTCCCATAATAATATCCCTGGGAGGTAGGATGGGATAAGAGATGGTGGCCATTCCCAAATTACCGAGTATTACCCAGTGAATTTCCTTGGTTGAAGGTGAAATTGAACCTTCAAGTCTACTCTCTCCCATTTCTAGCCCAACACCTTAAGCACTGCACGGTGCTCCCCAGATGCAGTTAATTCTGATAAGATGAAGCTCCCGCCAGCATTCTGGAACCCCCTGCAGAAAATCAAAACCAAGGCTGTTCACCAACACTTCCCAATTTCCTTCCAGGCTCTAGCGTACCCTGATCTAGAGGAAAAATGGGATTACAGGTGGTCCTTGGTTTTGACCACTCATTCAGCAACCATTCAAAGTTATGATGGTGCTGAACAAAGGGGACTTATGACCAGTCCTTGGAGTTCCAGCTGCCACAGTGTCCCTACAGACACGATTTCCAACATTCCCTGCCAGCTTTCCCACAAGCAAAGTCAATGGGGAAACCGGCAGGTTCCTGCCACTTTTTTGCCTGCCTGCCTGCCCACAGCTCTCACCCACTGGCCTGGGACTCCTGCCTCTTCCCATGTTGCAGTCACGTGAGGTCCTTGCTTAATGACCCATGTGGTCTTGGGGTTACGACAGCAACCAGGACTTCCAGGATTGCCATTGTTAAGTGACTCAGTCACATGACGTTGCACTTTACAACCGCTTCATTTAGAATAGAAATTCCAGTCCCAATTGCCCTCATAACCCGAGAGCTACCTATATTCCTATACTTGGGGTGGAGAGGAATAAACACCCTGATATAGATGACCACTAGGTGGTAGCCAAGTTGTTCAGGAAATTCTCACTTTCTCACTCCCCAGGGGTTATCTAGATTTTTGGCATCTTTTTGAGGGAAAGCCAGGGCTCTGTTAGAGAGGAACATCCCTTCTCTGATGATGATGCTAGTTGATTCCCCTTTTTTAAGCTGAAAAGAAGATAAATGGGCCTTCTGGAGCAGCAGACTATATCAAGACTTAGCATAAAAGTTTAATACGCTAAGTGTTCTGGCTGAGGAATTCTGGGAGTTGAAGTCCACACATCTTAAGGCTGCCAAGTTTGAAAAACACTAGTTTAACATAAAGCATTAAACATGCAGCAAGCCAGGACAGTGAGAATAGGCTGTTTACCTGCTAGGCATCAGGGCAATAGTCTGTATGTCACAAAATGATGTGCCAGTTTGGGACAGGAGGGGTTAAATTGTTTTGCTTGTGATTAAAGGCATTGCAGATATACACCAAAAATGCCTTTGAGTTCTGGGAAAGACTGAAACGTTTAGCTGGGATCTGGAGGAGTGGAAAGACGCACTCCCACCCCTGCTACAGGAATTAGTCGCCCAAGAAGTGCCTACCGTGAGCAGCCCCAAGAGGAAGGGCTCTCGGCAGACCATGGTTTCATCTGCTGTGTCCAGAACGCAGAAGACCCAGGGGCTGAGGGCCAGGACACAGAGCACCCCCTCCGCCAGGGGCTGGGGCAGTAGAATGACCCTTCAGCTAACCGAGGCGGGGATGGGCCTGAACCCACACAGCCTTTTCTCAAAGCCTTGCTCGAGGGAATTCCTGCCATGATCCTTTCCTGCAGGTGTCCGGGGAAGAAACTGACTTCGGCCAGCAGTTGCGGAAGACAGAACTTGGTCGGGGTGAGGAGAAGCCGGGGCTCCAGGCGCCAGCCCCCAGCCCTAACCCTTCCCAAGCCATTGAACGAGAACGGCTCCCTGGGAGCAAACCTTGAGCCTTCTTCCTCCACATCCCCTCCCCCTTTGAGTGGCTGGGGTCCCTGGTCTGGTGTGGGAAGCCTGCCTTGGCCTCTCCTTCCCGAGGCGTCTGGGCGGCAGCTGCGGCAGATGTGAGGAAGGGAAAGGAAGCTCTTGGGGGCTCACGCGCCTCGCACCGCAACGACCTCCTCCCCATGTCGCCCCACAGAACTCCGCATGCTGCCGTACATGATCACCATCGGAGACGCCATCCACAACTTTGCCGACGGCCTGGCCATCGGGGCTGCCTTCTCCTCCTCCTGGAAGACAGGGCTGGCCACCTCGCTGGCGGTCCTGTGTCACGAGTTGCCCCATGAGCTGGGTGAGGTGCAGAGGAGTCAGCGGTTGGCTGGGGGGGCTGATGGTACCCCCTGGGCTGGAGGGTACCTGTGGGGCTCAGCTAGAGAGGATCTCCTCCTTGCAGTGGGACGGTGGAGTCCCAAGAGTTCTCCCATGGGAAACTTGGGGTTCAGACAGCAGAGGTTTTGCATCTGACCACTTTGTGGCTCCCCAGCTGATTTCTAGTTGATTTTTTTTAGACACCCGCCTTTGCTTTGTAAGCCTGTGAGCAATCTCACAACTGCATTTCCAGATGCAAAGGAACTCGGCTTTCTTCCTCTGGGACCGATGTAATCTCCTCGAAGTGCCCAGAAGATTAGCGTTTCTGAGTTAAAATAGTTAAACCAATTTACATGTTACAGACAACTTTGGAAATAGGTTGGTCTTTGGCACAACCGTCTCCGTTTTTGGAAAATGGAGCTGGCTGCTCCCCGGTGGTCCTGTGCCAGGAATTCTCGCAGGAGCTCCGTTCTTCCTAAACTGGTGCCTTTAGGTACCTAGGACTACAGCTCCCATCAGAGAAGAGCTGCAGACCCGACGGGAGGAGGCTGAGCTAGATAAAAGTGAAGCTGGGTTATATTCAAGCAGCAAAACCTCTTTGTTCAATCTCCCCCAAAGTCAATTCTAAGAAAGGATTGCTGGCCAGGCTCCCGAGAGCACATCAGCTGCACCACGTGGGGATTGTGAAAATGGGTGTCCAAGGCAGCGTTTCTCAACCTTAGCATCTTTCAGTTATGTGGACTTCAACTCCCAGAATTCCCCAGCAAGCATGTGCTGGCCAGGGAATTCTGGGAGTTGAAGTCCACATATCTTACCATTGCCAAGGTTGAGAAACACTGGTCTAAGAACAGGATGTAGCCATCAGGTCAGCTCAACGTTGGCCACAGGAGTTGGGAAAGTCCTAGCCAAAGCCCTTCCCCCTTTCTCATTTGGCCCCTTCTGTCTCCCCAGGAGACTTTGCAGCTCTGCTGCACGCTGGGCTGAGCGTCAAGCGCGCATTGCTGCTCAACTTCGTAAGTGCCCTCACAGCCTTCCTGGGCCTCTACATCGCCCTCTCAGTGAGCACCGGGGAGGAATTTGAGGCGTGGGTTTTCACAGTGGCCACTGGCCTCTTCCTCTATGTGGCCTTGTGTGATATGGTAAGTCATGCCTCCTTCCTGTTGCCCCCAGTTCCCACCCAGAAGATGTGTCTCTGGGGCAGCCTTCCCCAATCTGTGCCCCTCCAGAGGGGCTGGGCTGCAAGCCCCATCATTGCCAGCTGGCCAGGCCAAGGCTGGGAGTTATGGAAGTTGAAATCCAAGAGGTCTAGAAAAGGCAGCCTTAGAACCATGACAACTAAAATACAAATTTGGAGGGTTCTGTGAGAGTTACTTCTCAAGGAAAAAAAAGAAAAGCAGTTCGTTACCAAAACATTGAATGATTGTAGACTGCCCCACCTTTAAAAAGAGGTGAAAAATTGAAAAAGGAGGAAATGGACAAGAGCCTTGTGGCCATAGATTGCACCCACAGCAGGTGCCTCATTTCAAAGCGCGACACTTGCTGGAATTCATGTGTTGTCCCCTTAAACAGCCTCATCCTGGGATTAACTCCAGTCTAGACTGAAGAAGGAAGTTTGACAGATGCAACTGTCAGACTGCAATGCATTATAAATTGGGGCTGTGCCACACTTAGGATTTTCACACGGTAGTAATTCCTTTTCCTACTTTTCTCCTAGAATTCTGCTTTGCTAAGTTTGCCTACAGTTGCTGTTCATGCCTTTGGGAGGATCAGCTGCAAAACATTTAAATTAGGCCTGTGCAGTAATCTGGATTTGAAGGGGAAAAGTGCTCTGAAGGGGACAGTCATGTTGGCCACTGATTCAAGCAGCGGTATCAAAAACACGTTTACGGAATTGCTGATGGTTGCCATGTACCTGGCCGGTGCACCCCAAAGCATCTTTTCCTCCTTGAATCCAGTCAGGGATATATAATTAGGGAGCAATAAGCTATGACCATGATTGCTCACTGTCTGGTCTTTGTCTACTCTTCCTGCAGCTTCCAGCCCTGATGAACGTGAAGGACAAACGACCTTGGCTACTCTTCGGCTTGCAAAACTTTGGCCTTCTGGCTGGCTGGGCCATCCTTCTGCTGCTTTCGCTTTTTGAGCACAATATCACAATTTAAATGCAGCACTCCTGTGGATCAGGACCTGCCACACCTCAGCCTCCCTGCAACCCCCAGCAGACATGGCTGACTCAGGGATATCCTTCACTAGACGGGAGAAAGGGGGTGCAGTGCTTGAGGGGCAAGTCAAGATCCAGAGCTCAGCTCTGCACAAGCTGTTGGCAGAAGCATTCGGAGACACCTGCCAGGCTTCACCTGAAGCTCGGCTGTCAATCTCCCCTCTCCACACATTTACTGTAATTCCTCAATTCTGGAATTGGCTCTCAGACATGACTTGGTCTGGTAGAGCCCTTATGGCAGAAAAGAATGAAGCCACGGCCATGTGGAAGAGCTGTCCACTGCAGCACACAGAAAAGAAAGCCATTCTATAGAGCTTGACTCCCAGGTTTAAATTCTAGGCCTTTTCCTCCTGACTTTCTGAGTCAGTGGATACTTGGCCATTCTCTTGGTGGCTTCTCTAACCTGGGAATCCCTAGTTTCTGCCTTGCCAGCTTCATTTCTTACACCAGCATGCCCTGGAAGGATGTCCATCCTGTCTTCCCCTTCTATTTATTGTATTTATTAAATCTTTTTTCACACATACACCCCCCGGATACTTAACACACACAGGAACTTGGGCCAAAATGCACTTCTCCAAATTCTGTTTTCCCTTCAGACCCTCATTCCAGTGCAGCTTCTCACCAAGTGTAAGTGAACCTGGGAGAGAACTGAAAGCACACTCTTTTGAATTCATCCCCAGCCTACAGCTGCTGCACTGCAAAGAGAATCATGCAAGGAAAGTGAGCGACTTTCCTACCAAAAGGCTGCTTACACCCACTTATGCTTGTCCATAGTTTGCTCAACACCAATTGAGGAGGCTTATTAAAATTTGGCCTCTGGAGGTTGGAGCTGGTACAGACAAGCGTGGGACCGAGGCAGTTTTGTGCACTAGTCCCAGCTGTGTAAATCAAGAACAGGAAAAAAATATCTGCAACTCAGAGGCAGCAGGAGGAGCTTGGGGGAACAGGGTCTCAAGACCAGCCCTGCATCTCAGCTGGTGGAGTGAGGGCAGATTCCACCCTACAACAGCTGTCTCCAGTTTAGTGCCTCCCAGAGATGGCGGGAAAGCTGCCAGTTGCATTCCAGCCCATCTGGAAGGTACCGTTAGGTAGTTGGCATTGGTGGAGCAAGCTATAGACTGGGCAGCTTCAGGGACCCATTTTCTGACCGAGTCTATTACGCATAAGGGCACACGTTCATCCTTTCTTTGCAAACATCCCTAGAGTCAGGGATTAGAGAGGGAGGCTGGCTCACAAACCCAGCTCAGGGGTATACAGCCCACTCTGGAGTCGGGAGGGGGCTGTGGACACGCTGCAAGTCGAGCAGCGCGCTCACCCTACTTCACCGGTACCGAAACACACCACGCCAAGGTCTGGAGTCCTGGGCAGGCAGATGGTGGGCTGCGGACGTAGACCTCGCATAGCTTTTACAGCACCACGTCTCATCGTTGCTAAATAAAACCTACGGATTCTGAGCATTTCACACCGAGCAGCGCGTGCACTGTTTGAACCGCGAAAGGGTCGAGGCGGGCGAAGCCTCCGGGGGGGTGCGCCGCTTTAGCGAGCCCGCAGTCTAAGATCGCTGGCGGGTGACGCGAAGGGGGCGCGGGCCCGAGCCCCGCTCG